AATATATTGAATACTTGAAGAACGAAAAGCTCCCATCGGACCCTAAAGAGTCGAGGGCCCTACAAACCAAAGTTGCTCGATTTACATTGGCTGAAGATGAAACATTATACAGAAGGACATTCGATGGACCATTGGCATTATGCTTAGGACCAGGGGACACCGATTATGTTCTACGAGAGGTCCATGAAGGCACTTGTGGGAAATACTCCGGCGTCGAATCACTGATTCACAAAATCATTAGAGCAGGATACTACTGGGATAGCATGGAAAAAGACATAAAGGAGTTTGTTCGAAAATGTGATAAATGAAAAAGGTTTTCACCTATGATCCATCAGCCCGGAGAACAACTTCATTCAGTCTTATCCCCATGGCCATTTATGAAATGGGGAATGGATATCGCCGTCCCTCTGCCATCGGCCCCAGGTAAAGCTAAGTTCATTTTATTTATGACTGACTATTTCTCTAAATGGGTTGAAGCACAGGCATTCGAGAAAGTGAGAGAGAAAGAGGTTATAGACTTCATCTGGGATCACATCGTATGTTGATTTGGGATACCCGCCGAAATAGTGTGTGACAATGGAAAACGATTTATCGGCAGCAAAATGACAAAATTTCTCGAAGACCACAAAATAAAAAGGATATTATCAATGTCGTATCATCCTAGTGGGAACGGACAGGCTGAATCGACGAACAAGACTATCATTCAAAACCTAAAGAAAAGGTTGAACGACGCTAAGGAAAAATGGAGAGAAATTATACCTGAAATCCTTTGGGCATATCGAACAACATCAAAGTCCAGTACGGGCATATCGAACACATTGTTGGCATCTTCTCCCTCCTTTTCTTCACCTCATAGTTTTTGGGCTGCGGAGTCATTCTTCGACTTACGAGCCTTGCTCTTCTTAGGCTTTGGAATATCAGAAGGCGAGGCCCTTCTCCTCTTATTTTCCTCAGCCAGTTTCGGGACTTCCTCTTACCCAGATGAAGGTGGCCTCATGACGGCTTTGTCCCCAAGACCTGTATGGGAGGAAATCAAGTGAAAACGAAGCATTTCACAAGAAGGCATCGAACACAGAGAGAGAAGCTTACCGTGAGTTTTGGCCTCCCATCGGACCTCGGCCAAATCGTGCCATGAGCGCTCAGCGTACGAGGAAGTCGAGGCCAATTTTCGAACCCAACCTGCAAGGTTCGGGATCGCACCGGGCACCCAAGACCGTTGCACCATAAGGAAGGATATATATGAGAAAATATAAAAGAAGCAAAACAATTAACAGAAGTTGTTGGTGGGTTTTTACTTACGCTTCATGTTCCATTCCTCGGGGAATGGCATCTTTTCGACCGAGATTATGTCAGAAGTCCGGACTCGGACAAATCGGCCCATCCATCCTCAATCTTTGTCCTCGTCTATGCTCGAGAACAACACCTTTGTAGCTCGGCGCTGAAGCCTTACTAATCCGCCTCGATAGAGACGGGTTCTGTATAGTCTAATGAGATGATCGAGGGTGAAAGGCATCCCTTCGACCTTGCTCACGAAGAATCGGAGCAAAATAACAATGCACCAAAAAGAGGGGTGGATTTGGCCTAGGGTTATGTGGTATTTTCGGCAGAAGTCGATTATAACGGGATCGACAGGACCCAGCGTGAAAGGGTAAGTGTAAATACTTAAAATCCCTTCCACATGAGTGGTGATATCCTTCTCGGGGGTAGGAACTACCACCTCTTTGTTTTCCCAGTGGCAATCTTTTTTCACCTACTCGAGATCGCCTTCAGTTATCGAGCATATATATCTCGATATGGGCTCACATCGGCCAGGAACCAAAGAGGGTTTTTCAACTTTAAAATCGGAAGTAAGGTTACATGACCCGGGAATGCACTTTTCGATACGGCGCTCCACCGGTGTTTTATCACCGACCGGCCGGGATGAGGAAACTTTTTCCTTCTGAGGAACGACTTTTGATGTTTTCTCCATTGTTATATGAGGAAAAAGAAAGAAGAAGACGAAACTTGTTATTTTAAAAGATTGGCCAACGGGGTTTGAAGAACCGGCAGAATTGATAAGCTTGAAGGATTAAAAGAGTTTTTGAAGATTAGGGGAAATTTTGAAAGTAGAGTTTGTGAAAGTTACGAAGATGGTCTATTTATAATATCTACTATAACGGTTTGAAAACACTGGTGGCTGACCGTCAACTGGCACTAATTAATGATCTTGAGAACTGTGTAAACGTGATGTTTCGGTCGCCTCCATTGCTTACATACATCACGAGTGTGACGTCATAATTGGTCGAGGTACTAAATCGAAGGCTCAGTCCGTTTCTTCTCGTTACACTCCAAGAAACGAGGGGACTATCTGTATACGGTCAAAATCGGGCCTACCCGATTTTGTTGTTTGATTGGGACAAGGGAGTTGCATCGGGGGTAGCCTCGTAATAAATCAGATTCGAGCTCGAAGATGAAACATCGAACCTAAAGATCGAAGTGTACATTGAAACCGAGGCCGGGCAACAACAATCGAGACCAAGTATGACCGACTTCGAGGGGAGCATAATAACAGAATGGCGAAATATCCGTAACCAGTCTAAGATCACGGCAGAAATCCCGGAACAAATCAAATCAAGAGCGGTTATTGGTACCAATCATGGGATTTATTTCCGTAATTAGAATTGTACCATAATTAGGAATCCTCTAGTATATAAAGGGGAGTCCCCATCATTTGTAAGCATCTTACATTCACGAATAGTCAATATAATATCTCTTGCTTCGGTTCATCAACTTACTATTCTTTAAATTGTTCTTACTTCATTATTCTCGGGGGTTAATCAGCTTGAGGGCATTGTCCAAGCATTGGTTTGTTTTACATTCTTGTCAATTCGCATCGTTTATCTCTAAGTTAATCAACTAGTATTTAGCAAATTCGCGTATCCTTAAAATCACATTACAAGTTTAATTGTTACTCGATTTTTAGGGTAAAACAAACATATGTGTTAATTTTTGGTTCGTTATTTATACTTTGAATAATGAAATAGAATTTTAAATTAATACTTCGTTTGAAAAGTATTTCTCATTAAGTAAAGTTTATTTCCAAATATAATTTGAAAAAAAAATTGAATTTAACTTGATAATAGACTAATCACCACATTAAGTTTTTATCGGATAATACAATATAACACAAATTATTTGGGCCGTGCTAGTACGGCCAAATATATATATATATGAATTTTTTATCTGACATTTATATGAATTTAAGTTATATTTGCTAATCATGAATTTTTTTTATATATTAATAGTTCTATTTAACGTGTTATAATGGATTAATCCGATGGTATAAAAATTCTTAGTTTGTGATGAATTTGATTACTGTCTTGATTGGCAAAGCTCAAGTTTCTTTTTTTTTCTGACAACAAGAGTAGGAATTGATCTTCTGTGCCTCTTCTTATAATAATGACCGTATCGTCTCTGCCAAAATGACCATCCATATATGTTTCTTGCCCTTTGGGTTCAGCTAAGGTCAAGGTTACTCATGAATTCTTTATTTGATTGTTTTATAAGGTTTTGTTAAGATTTGGACGGTAGCATGATGCCTTTCCAGTGACACTACTATGTACTTCTTTAATACTAATTTGACTTCTACTGAATACAATATCTGAATGTTCCCTAAAGTGAACACCACAAATCAAAATAAATACGACTGGCAAATCCAGCCAAGACTTCCATTTCAAAGAGTAGTAAGTACTGGGTAATTGAACATTACATTTTAGCCACTGATTTAACAGATTAATCTAACTAATGAGTTAGATAATCATCCATTAATTACATTTCGGACTGCAAAATCAAAGATTATACACCCCTTCTTCCTGAGTCAGACTTGGTCAACGATCTAAGTCTTACTAAAAATTTGACATTTTTCTCCCATGTTGACCCATCTTTCTTCTTCTTCTTCTCCGGCGAACCTTCTGGCCAATTATCCGGTGACTCCATCAACCTTCGACCTATACTCTCCGGTGTCCTTGCCATGTCATCATACTCGTGTCCACCCTCCGTGGCATCCATGTCAGCACCTATAATCTTCACTTGCATGGCAGCCAACACGGACTTTACTGCCACGTCAGCATCCCTTCTATTTCTCAACAAGATCTCTCCAATATGAGCTGGCGTGAGGGTCCCACCTGACCTTATGCAGCTCTCCACCACGTCAAACAAAGCGTGCGAGTCCAACCCTAAGTAGTTCTTGACCAAGACCTTGAAGGCATGCATCCCGCACGTGCCAAGGCTAACATGCATGTCCATTCGCCCACATCTAACTAACGCCGGGTCTACATTGTCCTTATGGTTTGTAGTGAAAACTATTACCTTCTCTTCTCCACAACATGACCATAGTCCATCGGTGAAATTCAACAAGCCCGATAATGTCACCCGTCCGTTATTTTCTGCATTATCGCCTATGACATGCCGGTTCTTCTTGTGCATGGAATGGTTATTTCTTGTTTTTGTCATCCTATCGCCCGTTAAGTTAATAGAACAATCGATATCCTCAATGACAATGATGGACCTATTTGTTGTTTGTATGAGTAAAGCTCTTAGTTCAGAATTATCTGAGACTTTGCTAAGCTCGAGATCATACACGTCGTAGCAAAGAAAGTTCGCCATGGCTGCAATGAGGCTCGATTTTCCTGACCCCGGAGGTCCATATAGCAAGTAGCCACGCTTCCATGCACGTCCAATTTTGTGGTAGAACTCTTTTCCTTCTGAAAATGCAGTTAGGTCGTCCATGAGTTGTGTCTTTAGCTCCGGCTCGAGGGCGAGTGTTTCGAACGTGGAAGGGTGGCGGAAAGGAACAGAGGACCAGCCAGATTCATACGAACCATGTCCGTTGTTCGTGAAGAGTCTCCTTTCACGAGAAACCCTCTCGAACTCCTCTGCTCGAGCAGTTATATGCTCGAGGTAAGGTGTGAGGAGCTCGAGGCGTTGGCGTTTGGGAAGTTTGAGGGTGAAGCTACGCTTTTCTTCGACGGAGTCTTGAACGTTGTCGACTTGGTGTGTCCACGAAAGGTGGTGCCCCCTGAAGGTGTCATTAACGGTGTGATTAGGAGCCAATGTGTACGAAATGCTTTTGGAAGATTTAGAGCGAGAGAGTGTAAGACGAGGGCAAGTGGATGAGGAATTGATGGAGTTCAAGTACAGGTTTACGTGTCGATAAAGATCATTAACGTCAACTCCACAATAGCCATTGAATTCAGGGATTTCAAAGTAAGAATAAGGGCTGAAGAAATCTTGAATAGATTCATAGCAAGAGTGAAGCACGGATAAAAGCTGAGTAGGCAAAACGTTTTGGAGAACTGTTAGAAGGCCTAAGAAAGACCAGATTTGAGACAATATCTCCATGTTTCACAACGGTTGGAAATTTGCTGTTGTGGCGAGGGAAATTAATGGAAGCGTTCTAAATGTTGGAAGAAGACAAAGAAATGGAGATGAAGTTTGTGGAGTTATGTAAGGGAAAATTTGGCAGCTTAGTGGTGGTGTGAATATATTTTTTCTAAAAAGGAAGCGAAAGTGACTGTTTGAGAGCTGAAAAGAGAGTGTAAACAAAGGTAAAAGCAAAAGATAAACATGAAGCCGACTGCTCTTACTTTAATTTACTTTTTCTCTTTACTTATATGAGGAATAAGGCTACTCATTCTTCATAATCTCTCTGTTTTATCCTGCCGTCCTTGGCCAAAAAGAGAGGCCAATATCTAATTAATTACTTCTAACTCCATTATATATGATTAGTCATATACTCACTAATTTTATCTGTGTCGCCCTAATTAAGTTTTGACATAGTTATTGTTTAACTTTTCAATATTTTATTGTATTTACCTGATCAGGTTTAATTCAAATTCGTAGTGAGTATCGTTTCCCATTGATTTTACTTATTTAATAATGGGAAGATAAAAATCATTGCTTACTACTATAGAATGGAGTTTAATAGTATATTCAATCTTAACAAACGAAAGTTATAACAATTTAAGGAGATAAATATATAATATACATGCGTGTATATATATATATATATATATATATATATATATATATATATATATATTTTAATATATTATTATGTACATATACACACTAGTACAACACAACAAATCAATAATGATTCTCACGATCGATATTATTTCATAAGGTCGAACATGGACTCTGGCTTTCTTGAGGAGTGGATGGAAAAATGGGACAGAGATAGTGGAGGTGCTAGCCACACGAAGACATTGGAATGTGAAGANCGAACATGGACTCTGGCTTTCTTGAGGAGTGGATAGGAAAATGGGACCGAGATAGTGGAGGTGCAAGCCACACGAAGACATTGGAATGTGAAGAAGATAGAGGGCCCTTTTGCTTTAGACATCAATGGCTTTAATTTGTTTTCTAACTTTAGTTTGCAGCTTTAGCTTTATATTTCAGTTGAATTGAGTCTTTATATGTAAGAGAATGTTCTTTGGTACTCGTATAATTTACTCGTCAAGTAGCTCATCATGAGACAAACCCACAATGTCCTGTGACTAGTTTTCTCCTAATCATAAGTTTTTTTTAATAATCTTGCTGTAGTTTATCTTTCTCTATTAATTTAGTGGAGAATTAGCAAATGACTATAGCTCAATTCCTTTGTACTAACATACATTAAGGGTAAATAAATTGAAAAAAGGGGTTATTTTCCTATTTCTATTTACCATAACGAAACTGAATTCTATTACTTGCGTTGGACCGCAGTCTTTAACGTGCAGATGTGGATCTATCCTAATATGTTGGTAATATAAGAAAAACTTTACTTTAGAACACTAGAATTTCTTAACTCCGTACAGAGGTTTAAAATTTGTTTCTTTCATTTACATAGACAAGAAATTAACTAACCTATATTTTGCCGTGAAATAGAATAATTTACGTTCATCCCCGCCACCCTTGTTGGATGTGCGTGAATAAAGTCTACGAAAAATAATTTACTTCCTCCGTTCATTTTTAGTTGTCCATTTTTAACCTTGCACTCCCTTTAAGAAAAAATAAATGACGTATATGTTTTATAATTTTACCCAAAATAATGATAACATTTTCAAAAGTCTTGGGAAATGATTTGAGAAATGAGTAGTTAAAGATAATGGTAAAATAGGAAAAAAAAGATTATTGTTCTCTTAATTTAGTATAGTGGACAAGTACAAGTAAAAATATATTTTTGGCATAGTGGACAAGTAAAAAACCAAAGGAGTACTTATAAGGAGTTGGATAATTTTAATGGTGTGGGATCTTTTGGGAAAAACCGTGAGGGATTGACTCAAAGCGGATAATATCACACCACGTTAAGAGTATCTTTGGAACGTTTTAGTCGAAACCTCCGCAAAAAAAAGGGTTATTTTTGTTGTCCCTTCCCATTGATAAATGCTAAATTCTTGCCTTTTGTACCAAGTATTTTTTGGTTCAAGTTCAAGCTCTTTCAACTGGTCGAACATAATCCATAGTTTGTTAAGAAAAGCAGTTGTTCAAACAAAGTTTCTTTAAGATAAAATTATTTTTAACTCTTCAACAAAGGCAAATATATTTGTGGTTTCCTTTTTTACTTCTTGTAGGTGGGCGTGGAGATAGCCAAAGAGGCATTTTTGCGTTGCATTTTCCCCATCTTTTCAGGACTTCTGCTTCTGTAGGGACTTCAAAGTTTTCCCCTACATATAAATTTACTTACAAATCTGTTGCAAATGTGAGAAAAGGGACTCCTCAAGTACCACCTATTAGCATGCTTGAGCCTTTTTCCTTTTATGTTGTTTCACATTCATAAATGGTCTGAAATTCAGAAATTAGTAAAAGAGAAAAAGAACCAAAGAATAGGTTGACAGTAAAAGCTAATTTTTCAAGCATTTTTTAGGAAGAGAAGGTGGATTAGAATATTAGTGGAGGTCAGCCTTGTCGCGAAACTTTGAAAGTGCTAAAGAATAAAGCCAAAGAAGCGATTTGCGCATGTTCACAGATTAACACGTAAATTGTCTTTTGTACCATAAGTTGTCTTTTGTGTCTTTTGATGAATACTTATCCACCATTTTTTATTTTTTATTTTGTGAAAAAAAATCCCTCACTAAAAAGTTGAAGACGTCTAAAACTGGCTAATCCGCTTAAGACTATTAATTAATGTCTCTAATTTGGATATTCTAGGTGGTTTAAGCATGTACTTAATCACTACATATACGGCAGAAAAATATTAAAGTACTAATAGTTAAATGAAGTGGAACGGCGTGAGCGATGACGCATAGTAAACCATGAAATTTAATCGAGATAAAAAATTATTTAGCGATTGAAATTATGCAATACTACTATTGTAAAGAAGTGGTTTAAGACTTGGTTTTGTATTAACGTACATATTTCCTTTGAACATTTTTGTGGGATTTATGATTATTAGAATCTAATCATGGCTACCAGTCAAGTGGGGAGGAGTCTTCTTGACCACGTTAGTTGGTTTAGATATCAAAAAAAGAGGAAATGAAGTGGGCAAAAGGATGGGGAATCAATGTAGTTTTAGGTCGGAGCTTTATGTAAATGGAGATTGGAGAAAATGAAAAGCCTTGGACAAAAAGACAATAGCAAAGCGCAGCACCTAAAAAAACGCTTTGGATTCCCGTTAGCATGTAGTACCAAAAATAAAGTGCTCGGTGTCACATCTCTTTTTTCCCACAAAACTCTATTACGAGGTTGAGTTAGAAGAGTTTTTCCAATTGAATTAACGTTTTCAAAAGGAATTATTTATTATTTGGAGTTGCCACTTGCAATTAAGTTTTGGTATTCCAAGTCACATTTTATATTGAATCTCTTATCAAAAGGAATGTTTGACTCCTATTTTATGGTCGACGAAAACAAAAGATTGAGTAAGGAATTCTATTAACCGAGTGGAAGGTGTAAGGCACCCCTCGAGTCCCGTGGTTCTAGCACGGTCGCTTTAATGACTAATATAAGGCTTAAATCAATTTTTGGCTATTCTTGTATTTTTATTGGTTATGGCTTGTCTATTACCACTTCACTTAATTTATTATATTTTATTAAATATTTGGACCCAGATGCGATACGCACACAAGGTATTTCTTTGAAGTTAGATGTTAAACCAAGGTACGGAATGTACAATGGTCAAAACATAATTATTTTGAATTTAAAGGTATCAAAACGCGGGAATGCGCACATGATCCTTTTATTACTTAAGCATGTCAATCCAAAATTTGGGTATGAACACATGAGCTAAATATTTTTTTTTTTTTTGAAAGAAAATCAACTCACACTCTATTTGAAAATAATCCAATGCGCCAAAAGTACATTATATAATTGTAAGTAAATTTAAACTCTAAAAGAAAATAATTACGCAACTATATTCACATCAGACAAAGTATAGAAAGATAAAATATATTACTTTAAACAAACATAAAACTAGTAACACTGTAAACGTTCAAATACTTCGACAAATAGGCTAACAACTCAAAACCTTAAAATTCAAAGAAACATTGTTTCATTAACTAACTTCACTGCATATTATAGTTAGAATAATGAAAGTTATCTCATCTAATTTATTATCACAAATTAAACTCAAAATAACTTAAACAGATAACATCAAACATGGATTATCTAATAACGATAACGACTTAAAAATGTTACCCAAAGACTCATCGGATTAAAATGGAGATGACATGATAACATACTCAAAATTAATATCTTCACCAAACTAACATTAAATATTGAGAAGCTTAAAAGTTACATATTTGTTCATGGCATAATTTAAAATACTAGCAAAATGAAAGACTGACCTTTACAAAGAGAAATCCGATGCTCTATCGGAATATCAAACCAAGACGGAGATCATGAACGGGGTCACTAACCGGAAACCTCAAATCCGACCTCAAGCATCCTTTATTTCAAAACCAAGTTTACTAAGAGAGATAGTGAAGAAACCTTTTGTGAGAAAACCAGTGTGTGTTCGTGTATGAAAATCTAAGTCTTCTTAATTAGACTAGAATCAACGTTTTCTCCTTTCTTTGAAAAAAAGATTCCCCTCCCTAATCTAATGTGTATGACCAATATATATAGAATGTGTGTGAAGAGTGATGAATGGAGGAGTGGGCAATAAGACGTGAGGGACGGGAATGATCGTGTGTGTGTGCAATGTGAAGTGAGTGACGTGAAAGGTGGGGTAGTTAGGGAGATTAGGATTAAGATGAGGTATATTAGAGAGTTAGTTGTGGATAGAAATGTATTTATTTTAGATTTTCTGTTCTTATTCGTTTTGAAAGCAAAAGTCAAGACAAGTTAATCAAAAGTTAAAAGAAACTATTTATACTGGAATCAAATATCTCTACAAGAAACTACTCGAACAATTACCATTACTAAGGCCTACACTACTAAAGGATATGTNTAAAAGTTTAAATATCAAGATTAGACCTAAAAGAAATATTTACACTAAAATAGTATAGAATTCGGGTGTGGTCAAAAATTAGTTGTTCACAGCATACCCCTCTTTGCTTGGAAACATGAAGAGTTTTCAGGCAAAGATAATGAATAAGGTGACTTATTTTTGACCTCACCATTATTAAAAAAGGAAAATAAGATAAATGAAGCAGATGCGACTGAGCCTTGGTTTTAGGCAGCCTACATATCTCGGGTTATAAGGGAATCAGGTCGCGTGTAGTT